CATGAAACCACAAAGCCACTCGAATGTTCTAGCACACACCACACTCAATCTACACAAGTAGGATTCTCGGACCAGTACTTATTTACATTGATAAGAGAAGAAGAAGAGAAGGACGAGTGTATTGAAAGAAGAAGAGAAGGACGAGCGTGTTGAAAGAAGAAGAAGAAAGGTATGTTATTTATTTTGCATTGTGAGCAGAGTAGAGTAGGGTAAAGTTAATTATTGTACATTTTTTTTTGCATTCTAAATTTCAGATGGATAATTCAAACCAGCAGCAGCAGCAGCACGGGGAAGCGGTGGTGGTGGAAGACGTTATCCGCATTAAAAACAACGAGACGGTGACCTTTGAAGACATCGCATTTCAAAACGATGCCATGATGGTGAGAGTGACAAAGATCAGAAAGCGAAGTCGCTATTTCCTACGCTCAGGAAGAATTATTGCAGTAAAGAGCGTCAACTACAAATGTAGAATTCTATCAGATAATGAGCGGTGATTTTAGTCAGCATCTACTTGGAGTTCTTTCATACAAATATTACACACACAGTCTAAGTCTTTCTTCTAAATACATCTTTTCATCTTACACTACTAAAAAACAGAATAAAGAATAAATTCCACAGAGAAGTAATATGTTTGTAAGTGTATGCATGTGTGAGTACAGTGTTTGCATGTCTCGTGTGTGGGTTATGCAAATATTGTGTTTAAAAACACACATTGCTTCTTACCATTATTCATTCAAGCGAATAACTCATCATCATCATCCTCCTCCTCCTCATCCTCTTGTCCAGTGGATGCGGACGTCCATCGCTCCTCAAACACTTTCAATAGTTGCTCCAGTGTATCGCATGGAATGACCAGGATGTTCTCTTCCCTCTCCTTGCATGTTCGCTGGGTTGTTCTGCACTCTCCGACGTGACGACATGGGATAACCCCCAGGGTACACTTGTACGTACGAGTCTCCTTTTTCCAGGCGATAGTCGAAGGGTAGACATAAAACTCATCCATTGTTCGCATCTTGAACGCTTCGATAGGTGTTGTAGATGTCCCCTTCACATACACGTCACAGCCGTGGGTTGTTGTTCCATCTCCACTACTGATCTTTGTTGGGTAGAAATTAGTGGCCACTCTGTGTACCCTCTCAGATTGGAGCGCCCTCCGTATGGATGGTGACACTCGTAACAGCCCCTCGACAACACACCGGAGCTCCTTAGCCAGTTCTACAACTACCTGGCCATATTTGCCCTTGCGAGCAACTCCCTTCACCTTTATAGCAGATATGGGGCCTTCCGTATAATGAAAGGACCACCCAGCAGCAAGTTCGGGGTATTTCTTCCCCTTCGACTTATGCCTGGTCTGAAGACCCTTAGAAACACCATCCACTACAAACTCCATAGAGGTTCTTGAAAGCATGTTTGAAGGTTTTGAAAAAACACTGGAGAGAGAGAGAGGGGGCTACTAGTAATTGCTTCTAAAAACTGATACTGAGGGTGGGCAGATCATAGCTATTTATACTCTGCAACTGACTAGCCCTAATAGAATACAAATGCATTATAATTGTATACTGTGAACAGGCAGCTGCGCAGCTAGTGCCGAGACTTGTTTACCCACATACCTACCAACAAAGATAAACAAATTCAATATGCTCCTAGTCTGTTTTGCAGTCCGCGGCTGTCTTTGACATCTACCACCCGATTGCCCCATGCAAAGTCTCCTGAGAGGACCTATGAATACATGCAAGCAAATTCAGTATACCTCGAAGTATATGCATGTAGGATCTGTGAGATTGCACAGCAAAGTCTCTAGAGACACCCACTTGGAGATGTGGACGACGTCTTTGAGATTAACCTCCATTTGTGATGCAATGTTTGCAATTATAGAGTTGCATCCTTGATGCACATGAAGAGGTGTATGCGAATGGAATATTTGAGATTGCTCCAACTAATGGGATATGCTCAATATGCTCCTAGTCTGTTTGCAGTCCGCGGCTGTCTTTGAGATCTACCGCCCGATTGTTCCATGCAAAGTCTCCTGAGAAGACCGTGTGATGCAATGTTTGCAATTATGGAGTTGCATCCTTGATGCACATCAAGAGGTATACGCGAGCGGAATCTTTGAAATTGCTCCAACTAATTACTTGCATAGCAAAGTCTCTACAGATAACAGCACATGGTGATAATGTCACAGTATACCCTGGTTCTGCTTGCAGATGTGAGCAATGTCTTTGAGATTGTCTAGATTCACATGTGTGTGTGATGCAATGTCTCCAATTATGACATCGTCATATGAATAAGCCAGTGACATGCCTCGAGTGTGTTTACCGGTGTCAGATGTGAGCGTATTGAAGTATATCCAACTAACACATCCATACTATTATCCATAAAAATAAAAACACGCACCATCTCTCAACTACATCTACATGCATAAAAACAATGGGGGTGCATTAGATATCTTCATAATTGTATAGAGGTGCGATGACGCGTGTTAGTTCTTCTTCTGGTGAGGGTGCACCCTCACCAAAGCAATCGAGATTGAGCGTGGAGAGTGTCTTTGAGTTAAAGCGTACCGTACCGCGTGGTTTCCTAAAAGAGTACCGAGCGGATCTAGACGAGCATCACAGAGATGTACTCACAGTGCTCAATGGACTTGCACAAAATATGCGAAGTGTTTTGCTGAGGGAGTTGGAGGTGCAGCAATTTAAAACCGTTCTCGTGACCTGCATCATGATGGAGAGAAGCGATGCATCCGGAGCTACTGTGTCAACATCGCCATTTTTCCGCAGTTCCCCCATATCCATTCTCAATCCACATGGCATTGATGACCAACTATCCAACGCCTTCGGCAAGATCATATCCAAGGTTGATGGGTGGCTCCAGGCTGGCTCCGGTTGGACTGTGGTTCGGGTGCGAAGCGTGCACATTGACATTGCCAAGTATCTCCCCATGCACGGCTCATCTTATCTACCTCTACCGCAGAAGATCTCCAAAACGAAGGGGGTGATCAACGTTCGTAATACCGATGATCAGTGTCTGAAATGGGCACTTCTATCCGCACTACACCCAGCTGAGAAGAATGCTCAACGGGTTACGAAGTACCAGTCGTACGCACAAACCCTGAACTTTGATGATGTGGACTTTCCTGCAACTCTTGCGGATGTGTATAAGGTGAGTTTGGATGAGGAATGAGTAATTGTAATCCTTCCAATCATACTTCGATCAATGTGCTAGTGTATGTGTACCATGATGTATGTACATAGCCACATTCACGGAGTTGTTGTTGTTTCTGTGTGTGTATGTGTACATAGTCACATTGAGGTGTTGTTTCTGTGTGTGTATGTGTGTGTATGTGTATGTGTTTCGTTAGGTGGAGACTGCGAACAATCTAGTTATCAATGTGTTTGGATTTGAAGGTGACTGTCTCTTCCCATTGAAGTTGACGGACCATGAAAACGATGCCAGCACCATCAACCTCCTGCTCCTTCATGAAGATTTGGCAAGCCATTTCTGCTGGATCAAAGATTTTGATGCGCTATGCTATCATCTGAACAAGTGCAAGACTAGGACCTACTTTTGCATGAGGTGTTTATCCGGTCACCGATCTCCGCAGACTCTCGCCAGACACCAACTGTACTGCGCCGACGCGAAGCCTGCTGTGATCAAGCTACCAGAACCCGGTGAGACGCTCACTTTCACGGAGACCAAGCGGAGAATGAAGATGCCATATATCATCTACGCTGACACTGAGAGTGTTCTCAAACCCAGCTCGGGGCAGCATGGAGCCCACACTATTCGGAATGCAGAGCATGAACCCTGTGGAATTGCTTACATCGTAGTGCGGTCAGATGGAGAGGTGACGAGACGATTTCTTTACAGAGGTGAGTCACACTCCATAAATACAAATGCTGCTCTTTATTGTTTTCACGCATGCCAACGTTCAATCTCTATATGTTGTAGAAGTAAACTATCATACTGTTACTACTAGTTACGTATGAATTGACTTGCCACATTTCAACAGTCTATCTTCATATACATGTATGTATAGACATGTATAGACATGTATCTTATTTCTATTTTGTGTTTGTGTGTTTGCGTGTACACGATTGTTATGCAGGAGAAAACCCGATTGAATCGTTTTTCGAGGAGCTCGCGGGAGAAGATGAAAGAATCACCAATGACCTGCAGCACATACGACCCATGAACATGTCAGCGGAGGAACAGCAACAGTTTGAAAATGCGAATGAGTGCTGGATTTGCAGCGATGAGCTGGGTGATGATCGAGTGCGAGACCACGACCACATCACGGGTAAATACCGCGGTGCAGCTCACAGCAAGTGCAACATCAACCTGCGGATTACACCAGAGACTCACCCAATCCCAGTAGTTTTCCACAATCTGAAAGGTTACGACGCCCACCCACTCATTTCAGCCATTGGCGCCACCTCATCGGAGAGCACGACCTACATGAGCGGCGGGAGAAAGAAGACCAAGAAATCCGGTGAGATCAAGATCATTCCTAACAACATGGAGCGTTACATCTCCTTCAGCTGGGGGCGATTCCGCTTTGTGGATAGCCTATCATTCTTGAATGCTTCGCTGGACAGGCTTGTAAAGAACACACCCAAAGACTCATTTCACCATCTGAGCTCATTCTCTAGACTCACCCACACCAACATCAACGGTATGGATGACAGCAGCAGCAGCAGTAGCAGCGACGATTCATCTACCACCAACATTTACCATGATGATACTTCAGCTGATGATCTGTTTGAGCTGCTTACTCGCAAAGGAGTCTACCCGTATGAATATGTAACCAGTACAGCGGTGTTTGATGAGACATCACTACCACCCAAAGACGAGTTCTTCTCTTCATTGACGGAAAGCCACATCAGCGATGATGACTATGAGCATGCTCAACGCGTCTGGTCTGCGTTCAAGTGCAGAAACATGGGAGACTACCATGATCTATACCTCAATACCGATGTAAATCTTCTGGCTGACGTCTTTGAGACATTCCGAGTCACAGCCATGAACACTTACGAACTCGATCCGGCACATTACTATACTCTCCCCGGACTCGCCTGGGATGCCCTGCTGAAGTACACCAAGGTATCCCTCTCTCTTCTGAGTGATGTGGATATGCACCTATTCATCGAGCGTGGTCTCCGTGGTGGGGTGTCAATGGCTTCACATCGACATGGCAAGGCAAACAACAGGTATGTGCATGTATGTGTGTGTAGTCAGTTGAGTCATTCTTCTATTCATTATGTGTCTATCTGTCTGTATGTGTATGTGTGCGTGCATGCGTATTTATACCCCCCACATGCAACAGGTACATGAAGAGTTATGATGAGACCAAACCATCCACCTATCTCCAGTATTTAGATGCCAATAATCTTTATGGCTGGGCGATGTCACAGCATCTACCAGTATCGCACTTTGAGTGGTGCCCACCGACACGCGAGCTCCTGGATAGCATCCTCACTCAAGCGGACGATGCCTCGCTAGGCTACATGATTGAATGCGATCTCACCGTACCAGATCACTTGCACGACCTGCTCAACGACTACCCACCAGCACCGGAGAAGATGACCATCAGCGAGGAGATGCTCTCCCCATACCAACGCGACCTGATGAAGAGTATGTCGATCACCGGACTATCCTCACCTAAACTGGTCCCTCATCTCATGCGCAAGCAACGGTATGTGCTCCACTATCGCAACCTACAGCTTTATTCCAAACTTGGACTAACCATCGACTGTGTACACCGTGTACTACGCTTCAAGCAGGAAGCTTGGATGAAGCCGTACATCGAGCTAAACACAGAGCTCCGCAAACAAGCTGCCAACGACTTTGAAAGAGACTATTTCAAGCTGATGAACAATGCCGTATTTGGCAAAACTATGGAGAATGTGCGAAGGAGAGTGAACATCCGCTTGCTGCGAGCGGACGATGATGAGGACAGGATCCTCACAGCCGTAGCCAAGCCGACGTATGTTAGACACGTCATGTTTGACAATGACCTCGTCGGCGTTGAAAACAGAAAAATCCGCGTCTCCCTCAACAAGCCCGTGTACATCGGAATGAGTGTACTAGATCTCAGCAAGGAGTTGATGTATCGCTACTACTATTTCAATCTCAAGTCTCACTATGCCGAGCGTGTGCGACTGCTGTACACCGATACGGATTCCCTCATCCTCCAGTTGGAAACGGATGACTTGTACGCGGACATGATGAGCGACTTGGATGCGTACGACACCAGCAACTACCCCACAGATCACCCGCTATACAGCCAGGTGAATAAGAAGAAAGTAGGTAAATTTAAAGATGAGCTAGGTGGAAAAATGATGAGTGAATTCGTAGCTTTACGCTCCAAGATGTACTCATACAACGGTGAGGAAAGCGGACAGCGGGCCAAGGGTGTCAAAAGAAGCGTGACGAAGAAGTTCACCATCCGCGACTACGAGCGTTGTCTAACAGAAAGACGCACCTCTGCTCACCCTATGACTGCGCTGAGAAGCCACGATCATCGCATCTTCACCGAAACAGTTACGAAGACCTCACTCTCGCCATTCGACAGTAAAAGATACATTCAGCCCGATGGTGTATCCACGCTGGCATACGGTCATCGCCGCATTGAACCCTCGCACGCGTTACAGTAAACAATGAACTACCAGCATTGAGATTCTGACTTGATTTTCATACAGCTATAGCCATACATATTGAGATAGTGATGATGATGCAATGAATCTCCATGTTAGAATATCCAATGAATTATTTGTTAGAACTTCATCATGCTTCTTCAGCAATAGCGAATAATCAGCAAGCAGTTTTCTTTAGAGTTTTTCCCATTGATTGGTGCTGATCCATGTGTTGAACTTATCCGGATAGCCTTTCCACTTGACGAGGGATTTACCGTTTCTCTTGCGAAGGACTTTCTCCACCCGAAATCGGGTTTGTGTGGTCTTCTGCAACTGCTGCTCGTAGAAGCTGCCTATGATGGGTTCATTCATGAGGTCTCGTATGCGATAGGTGACGGGCTGTGTTGTTAGCACACGATCAATGATGAACACCTCTTCAGTCCAATTGGGTGTGTACCCCTTTTCAAAGTGTCGCTTGCTGACTGTGATTCTAACCTCATCACCTGTGCTGTAGCGGGGTTTTGCATGTAATCTTTTGGATGATTCAAGATGATCCTGAACGAAGGGTGCATTCGGTTCTTGGGAGGCTTCAGTGGGAGTCATCTTGATGCTGCGGTGCTTGCTGTCGTTGTAGTTGCGTACCAGTTGCGGTAGCACATCCACATACACATTGGTTGATTTAGCCGTAAAGTAGCGCCACATGCGTGACTTGAGTGTTCTGTTGAAGCGTTCCACAACGACTGCCTTGCCTTCGTTGTGGGTGCTGTACATGTGAATGTCGTTGTCGGACAGCCAGCGTTTGAATGTTGCATTGTAAAACTCTGTGCCTTCATCCACCCACAGTTTTCGAGGTGAACGTCCACTTTGCACGATGATCCTTTGAAATGCATCTCTAACGCTCACCCCAGTTTTCCGCTCCAGAGGCATCACCCACGCATATCTGCTGAAGAGATCGATGACCGTGAGCAGGTGTCGAACACCCTTGTTGTACTTGGCAAATGCTTGCATGTCAACTAGGTCTGCACTCCAAATTCCATCGAGATCCTGTACAACAACTGCTCTGCGTGGAAAGCGTACGCGACGTGGTCTGTGCAAATCGTGTGCCAGACCCTCCATCCAGCTGTCATCTGTGCTCTTGCGTGTGCTATTTTTACCCCTACCAAGCGCTCTACCACCAGCGCCGCGGACCCCAGTCATGCTCAGCACCAGTCGATCGTTCTGAGCGGTGTCACTGGTGAACTGGCAGGACAGTGCACGCAGGGTTTCAGTGATGCTCCTGAACTTGCAAAAGAGTCGTCCGACCAGGATAGCATAGTGTCCACACACCGCTGTCGCAGGATTCTGCAGCACCTGGGTGTTTGTGTAGAGTGAGCAGTCGGTGAAACCCTCTGCGAAGTAGCGCTCCAAACCAGGCTCGTGATAGTCACGTTCCATTCTTTTCAGCGTGCGTCCAAAACTGTCAAACACGAGCACGCGATCTCGCTCTCGGCATACTGTCAACCAGTGGTGTCCACCCTGAGGTGGGTCATACACGGGTACAACGTTGTCTGTGTTGACAATGCAAAACTCTCCATCCTGGAGAGCGTGAGGGAGAAGATCGTAGCTGGACACTCCTCGAAAACCACTCACATGTCGCAGGCAATCCTCGATGTGCACATTGCTCAGCGGTACATCCATTCCACGAGGTTGGGTGTGCTCCTATTATTGCTATTACAAGGAATTTCCTTTGAGTATATTGGAGACTTTAGCCAGGGAGCGGCTACTGTTTTTCAAGACTGAGATCACAAAATCTGTATCGTTAGTCAACACCTTGTGCAGACCATGCATGAAGTGGTCCGGATTCATAAGCTGTGCTTCCAGGGTGGCGGCATACGTCTGCCACATTTCTTCCAATCCTTTGAACTTGTGACCTGCCGATCCAGGGGTTGCGAGAGATAGTTGAATGATAGTCTGCAGCTTGGGTTGGAAGCTGGAGAAGCCGGGCATGAGTGTAGAGAGCCCGATATCACGCAGGGCAATCCTCTCGAAAGGATACTTTGACAAATAGATGCGATTCGTTTCATTCACCAGCGTCATGTAATCTCTCCAGATCACGGCCTCCACACGTTGTCGTGCAGACTCCAAAGCACCTGCAAACGTGGCTGGGTTGTCTTGGAAAAGCTGTTGCAGTTGCGCACGAGCGGTGAAGTAGCTGCTTTTCACAAACACCATGGGAATGTTTCGCCGTGCTAGTTCATCTGAGAGACTCTGTAGAAGGATGCGATCAAAGTCGGAGTCCTTGGTGATGCTTAACGAGAGAGTAGAGGTGGGCATCTTCTTCTTCAACCTCACATCGGCGATGGACTCTCGAACCGCCCCAGTGCTTGCATCGTAGTTGAGAAGATCAGACGCAATCACATTCAGAACGGAATCATAGCTGATGAGGTCGGGGTTGTTCTTGAAGTGACGCTCATACAGGCTCTTGATGTGTGGGTGCTTTTGAAGCTCCCCGCGTGATAGTCTACCCAACGTGTGATCCGGTATGTACTCCAATGCCTTCTTGGCATTTCTCAAAAAGTCACCATAGCTGCTACCGCCACCACGACCCTCAAACACACCGCGACGGCGTCGGGTTGATGATGATGATGGTAGTGTACCCACAACATCCCATGATGATTTTCTTCTTTTGACAATGTACTGCGAGTGTCGTTGCATGTATTCCAGGGTCTTCAATCGTTTCGTTTTCGGGATCATGAAAGCAGTCTCGTCAGATCCTCCAGTACGGGTGATACTCTTCGGGAGACCCTTACTGAATCGAACGGTGAGGCGCTCCATGATTACCCTAACTAGAAGGAGAATTTATTATTATTCAAAAATCAATCCCCTTCTGCTTAGTTCACCAGTCTATTCACACACACATGCGAGGTAAACACACACCAAATTTGACAAGGATGGGGCGGTGGGTCAGGAAGGTGTATTTTAGACAATCGCAGATGTAGAAAATAATTCATCAATCGGCAATGTTAACTATCACACGTACGTTTGGCTTCAAAGAATCTACTATTCAAACAGAACCTTGTATGTATCATCATTGCAATAGGTGGAATACTCGTTGCGTGAGCAGTGAATGGCTAGTATAGGGCGTTGGCATGCAGTGAGAAGCTTTTCGTACAGTCTAAACACGAGACCAGACTTGATGCACTGCCCACCAAACAGAGTGTTCAGGTAGCGCTTGATGTTACTCTTGTCGGTAAAGCGAAATAGATAGAGAAAGTTGGCATTGATCTTCATATCCTTGATATTATCAAAGCTCTGTGAGAGAAAGAATACGTTCAGCTTGTAGTGATGACTGTACATGGTGAAGAACTTGTAGAGACACTCACGCTGATCACCGTGCTTGAGTGACATGACCCGAATATCATCAATGATCACATACGTGTGCGGCTCGATGTTCATTTCCTCGATGTTCTCGGGGAGGGTGCTGTAGTGCTTGAAGCTCTTCACCCCCTCCAGACGATACTGCTCTGCAGGTGTGTTGCTGATGATCACCAGTCGCTCCGGTTGAACTTTGTTCAGAAGCTTTTTCAGGAAGTATGTCTTGCCCATGTTGCTCTGACCCAGGAACAACACATTCTGACCCCACCCGCGGAGAGCGGGTAGGATTTCTTCGAACCACCCCTTTCGTTTGTACTCCAATCCCGATATGGGTGGTGGTGCGTGAGAATCTCGATGCACCCTCGCCGGTTGGATTACGGGTGGAGCAGGAGGGGGAGGAGAGTGATGACGATGGTGGGTAGCATGACGCCTCGTCGCTGTAGAAGTTACAGCCCCTCGACTAGGTGCGAACAGTGATTTGAAGTCCATTGCTTACTACTTCTAGGAGGAGAAATATGTGATCAAATGTTGAATGTGGGTGCAATGTGTGCCGAGTTGCTGGTGTTGCTGCTGCTTGCTCTGTTCAGATTCTCTCTGATCTTACTTGCGAATGGTGAGCTGTGTGTATTAGTGGTGGTGGCGGTGGTGGTACGTCGTCTCGGAGATGATTTCCTCGACAGTCTGGCATGGATGTTGGATTTCACTCTGGATTTGGCCTTCGACTTGATTTTTTGAAACAAACGTCTTCCGGTGGATTGAAGTTGCTCACTCACCAGGTTCGCTGTACTCTTCTTCCTAGACCTTGTTGTTCTTTTCCCACGTGTCGCACCTCGCACTGTGGGGTGGGCTCTTCTCCCTGAGACTCGCGATGAGTTGCGAGATGTCTTCCGATTGCCTTTTCGCATAGTATGATGCGTGCGTGCTTTCTTCTGCTTTGCCTTTCCATCACCAAAGACCTTATCCACCACGTTGTCACCCACAGAAGCAAGTGCACCCATGGCCAATGGGATGCCCATGGATTTCAACAGTGGCAGACCCTTGGCCAAGAGACCAGGGGGTATGGACAGACCACCACGTTGCATGATGGGGTCACGCATCGACTTCATCTGTCTCTCGATGATGTTGCCACCACCCTCACCATTTTTACCTTTTCCCAGCAGCATCGGTAGTAGAGAGAGTCCAGCTAGGGCCCAGGGAAATCCACCACGTTGCATCGACAGCTCACGCTTTGCAGGTTGGGACATGTGCTTCTGCAACTCACCAGGTCCGAGTCCAATCAGATTACCGAGCCAGCTAATGAAACCACTACCACTCTGGCGCTGAACTGTGCTCAAGTCACCACCAGTAGCGAATCGCTGATGCGTAGCTAAATCACCACCATCCATGTCTCACAGACATCTCCATGTGCACCGTATCTTTATCTTAACACAGAGAAATTCTTCAAACTACTTCGCTCTTGATCCCCCTCTCCTTATCCATGGTGTACACGTACTGATCCATACAGAGCATGTTGATCTTGATCGAGGTGTCGGCATGACTGGGTAGTCTGATGGGCGAGTTGGTCACCGCGCTGAACTGATAGTCAATCGTGAGATTACCTCGAGCTTTTTGATTGTCCACCTGTCGATCCAGGTTCAAGTTGATTGGTATCATGAAGAAATGGTTGCAATAGTCACTTGCATTGATGGGGATCTCCATACCATACGTTTTGCCCAGGAACTCTCGAACTAGATTGTAACCACGCAGGTACGATGACTTGTTATAGTCGTAGAAGTAAGTCCCATCATCCTCGTTCTCGGTGCAAGTCCACTCGAACTTGAGAGGGCTGTCGAAGAGCGTCTCGTCGTTGATCATGATGCGAAGCTGCGATAAACCTGCATGAATCATGGCCAGACGGTTGTGGGAGTGGGTGACAGCACCCGTACCGAAAGCCGGCTGATCTCGGGATTTCAAATCTTCAAAGTAAATGATGAACTTGCGTGGAATGTCTGCGTTGTGTAGGAGTTCGATGGTTCCAGCGTCGTCCGTGATGCTCTTTTGGATCTGTCGCGCACACCACGTGTGGAAATACAACTGCTTGGAGAGGCGCATCTGATCAACGTACGCACGATCCAT